GTAGAAGAACCGGGAACAGATAAAGTGTGGTCATTGAGATCGTGTTGATCGACACTGGTTGCAGAGGCTACAAGTCTCCTGGGCTCAAAGTACTTGGCCTTTGAAATCAAATTTGGGGTGGTGATCGAAAACCCTTTATTCACAGTAGTCGTTTCTAAATACGGTTTAAGGCACTGAAATGGGATGGAGTAAGCTGACAAAGCCGCCATGCGAGAGAGAGAAGTGAGACAATGAATGCTAGGTTGCAGAAGGGGTCCGGCGGCTGGTCGCTTCTCCTATGGCGCAAGTAAATAAAATTGTAAAAACAGCTGCTATTACCCGAAAACGGCAGCGTTTTTGTATGTTTGCTTGCCCCGTTGAATTAATTACTCGGTTGTGAACGAATTTGAAGCTATTACTCAAAAACGGCAGCGTTTTGTGTCTGTTTGCTTGACCTGTTAAATTATTGAGTAATGTTCCGTATATTTAAAACTAAACTTGATAATTTTAACTACTAAATAGGTAGTGGTTTTCAATAAATATTAGAATCGACAATAAAATAAATAATTATAATTATCAAGTCTAATTTTTAAATCTACTTTTTAAATTCATGTAACATTACTTTAAATTATTTAACGAAAATTGGTTATAACTATATTTTTATAATATTAAGTCCCATTAACGTCCTTTTTTTTTTCTTCTAGTTTAATTTAACTTAATTTTTTTTAATGACCAACGTACCTTTTGACTCACTCACATTGATTTCGTCGCCGCTTCTTTTTATTCTTTTTATTTTCTTTCTCTATTGGACTTTCTCACATGAAACTCACAAAATTGGAAGTCGACCTCACAAAGATCAATTTATAGATCTAAACATTAGCCCACAGACCTAAAAGATTAACCACATAGATCTAAAAAATTCAAGCAGATCTAATGCTTGATCCTTGTCTCCATGGTTGTACTCAACTCAACAAGCAACTCTCAAACCCTACGACGAATGATGATGCTCCAAACGTGATTGAACAAATTATGTATGATTAGGGGTTAGGACTGAGTTACTAGACTAGGGTGATTATGATCGAACAACTTTTTTGGGGATCTTTAGGGAGAGATCACGCTGAAAAATTATAGTGGTTTACTAGCTCAGGAGCTCGGCTAGTCCAGTCTTTAAAGGAGTCTCTTATTCCTGAGGCTTTTACTCAATATGAATAGTCGGTAACAAAGTCTTCTTTTTTTAGAAAAAATTGATTGCCTCGTAATAAGGGTTTTGTATAGTATTTATAGCCTAGTCCCTAATTCTAAGGAGCTAGTGGTGAGATCTTCGCTTTCCTCCCACGATGTTTTGCTTGATTTTAGGCAATAGTTGTGGTGGTTAAGGATCTTGCGCCTAAATTGGCGCTTATTGCCGTTGAGGAGGCGCGTTGTGGTTAGACAACTGTCTTCCATGCATTTTCTTCCGGTTGTAGGTCAAGGGCCCCCAAATCTGGGGTGCTGGGCTCGAGCTTTCCTGGTTGAGCTCCCTACTTGACCTTACCTCCCGAGCTCAAATTTAAAATTTCCTCTAGGTATCATCAGTTGCCCCCTAGCCCCTGGTCGAAGTGGGCTTGAGTAGGGGGCTGAACTAGAGTGGGATCAAGGTAGGTCTCCAAATGACTTCCTCGATTTGCATGCGAAGAGGTTTTTCTAACTGTTTTGTGTAATCATTTCTTCCTCTTTTTTTGTGCACAATCCATACTGTGAAGACCCTATACAGTAAGCTTTAAATGCTTCTAAAATGATGAAAACTGCCTCATTTCTCCTTTTGGTTTCTCTCTCTAGGTTTTTCCCTCTCTTTCCCCTTGCAATCGTAGCTTTCCCAATCTGTCGGTGATCTTAGGGTTTTGCTGAAAGCCTACCTCCCCTAATTCAATTCGAAAGTCTTGTGAGGCTTGCCTTCCATTTTTGCCTTGGGCTTTGATTCACCATTCGTCCCTGATTAGGTACGCTTCTAGTCTTTTTGTCATTTTGGATCCCTCGAATTCAAGGTGGTGTTGCATTTTTGGACCTTTGGCTTTTTCTATTTTAGGAATCGAGGTCATTCTTTGTCTTCCTTTTCCCTTTTTTTGGATCCTTACTCAACTGCTCAGGTCTTCCTCATTGGTCACTGTTGTGTTGCCCCTTGGACTCTTAGGGAGTATTTGGTTAACATTCCTCCTCTTTATCACTCCTTTAGACTTCCTTCACTTGTCCAATCATGTTTGCTTCTTTTGAAGCTACATCCTTGTCGGTTTCTCTCATGGGAAATATGTCTCAAGAGGAGGATGAGCTGGGAGAGGTTGGTGAAGAAATAGATAATTTTTTTGGGATCGAGGCTATAGAAATAGCTGAAGTTCCTCAGGTTTCTTCAGGGTCTCCTTCCAATCCCAAGTAGTCTTGAAAAAGAAAGGCCAAATTAGGCTCAGGTAGTGCAAAGGACTCCGAGCCCACTCCTCGTGCCTCAGACCTCATTGGTCATAGCGAGGTCACTCCTTCCCTTATGAAAGTCCTGTCTGCTAGGTTCGGTTTTCCTAAGGGCATGTGTTACTGGATTCCCCCTACTGACATTAGGTAAGATTCCAAGGTCCCAAAGAAAACATGTTTCTTCGTGGCTTCTCTTGAAAATGGGCTAAGGTTTCCTATTAATCTCTTTATTAAGTCTGTTTTTCAACATTTCAATGTTTGCCTTGCTCAAATCTCTCCTAACTTCTGGGGGGGGTCCTGGTGGGCCTTGTTGTCTTCTTTAAGAAAAACAAAATTGGTACCCCAACAATTCCTCTACTCATGAAATTCTTCATCGTCAAGTTTTAGCCTGACGGTTTTTTATACATTTCCAAGCGAGTAAATACCCCAGCCTTGATTACTAACTTGCTCAACTCTCACAAGAAGTGGAAGAAGCAATTCTTCTTCATGTCAAAGAAGTCGTGGGAATTTAACCCTAATGATGCCATTGGTACCCTTCCTGTCCCACGCTCCTGGGCAGGTATTCATGAAATTCTTTGGGTTGTGTCAGGTATTCGTCCTGAGCTAGGAGCTGAGGGCAGGCTTGCTCTGATAGGGCTCAAGGATTATAGCCCCAAAAAATACTCTAGTTTGATCAAACGTTCTAAGCTTACCAAGCTAGGTCTTAGCCCTCCCGAAGTAACGATTGAGATCCCTATTCCCCTTTCTATAGTTAGAGCAAAAAAGGGGGTACGTAGTACTTCTTCCTTTTGTCCTTAACTTTTATCTCATTTATCTTCTTCTTTCTAATCTGTTTGTCTTTGGTTCCTTAGTTTCTACATCAATGGAGCCATCTTCCAAATAGTTTAAGGCTAAGGTCAGTGAAATGAAGCAAGCTAGAAGTGGTGGCAAGCGTAAGGCTGAGGTCGGGTCAGGCAGTGGTGCTGCTCTTGTAGCCAAGGTGCCGAGATTGGGGGTCCCCCTGCTACTCTTCTTCATCCCAGATAGCCCTTGCTCCACCACCGAGCTCTTTAGCGGCCTAGTAGTCCTCTCTCCCTCAAGGGGTTGTGCCTCCCCCATCTGGGGGGTTTCTGAACAAAGTGTATTCCTGATCCTTCCTTCCTCAAACAGAGGTCGAGAGAGTCCTAGAGACTGTCACCCCCATTTTACCTGGTTCTACTCCTCCTAGGGCCAATTAAGGGGTCCTTTCAGCCCTTCTTAAGGACTCCCAGACCGATAAAGGAAAGCACCTCAAAATCAAGGGCGAGGGCTCTCTTATGCTAACATGAAACGGGCAGTGGAGGCTATTGCCTCCATTATCCCAAAATCTGACATTCAAAGGGTTACAACCATGCCCCTTGGATATTCTATTTCCACTGCTCTATTCGGCGCTACTTCGGTGAGCCTCTAGTTCTTCAAATCTCAACCTTGTCTTGCGTTAGTCTTTTGTGCTAACTCTCATTTTTAGGTTATGTTTTCTCCTAGCTAGCCATCCACATAAGTGCCTTGTTGATAGTGGATTCAAGCCATGGAGATCTCTACCAACGCTTCTAAGGCATTTAAGCACAAGGCTGTTGAGCTAGCCTTTGCTAATGATGACCTTAAGGCCCAGCTCTAGGACTTGTGGGCTTAGGTAGATAGGCAAACTTCCATTATTTAGGACCTAGAAACTGAGAAGGGAAGGATCGAGGAAAAGGGCAAGAGAGCCAGGGAAGAACTTAGGAAAACCAAGGAGGATCTCAAGCTAAAGACTAATGATTGGATTAAGGCTAGCCAGGAGACCTTTGAGGCTTTGAGCTCTTATAGGGGCATGAAAAGGGAGTATAATATTTTGACAGAAACAAGAGACACCATTCAGAATTGCTAAGTTGGCTGACGATGTCACTACCAAGTTCTTAGTTGGTAGGGGTGCAACTTGGGTGGGCTAATCCGATTTCAACTCGAGTCCAACCCAAAAAAATTAGGGCTTAAGCTAAGGTTTTTAATACTTGAGTTGGGCTTAGGTCAAAAAACCTCAACTCGAATTCAATTTGAGCGAGCCTAGGGTTGAGCCATCGGGTTCAACCGGAATTAATACTATATAATTACAATTTTATCCTACGATTAATTTCAACTCAAGTGTGCGCCTCTCTCAGACCCTCACTCGCTCTCAGTTTCTCTCAAGGATTCTGATTGTGCAAGGATTTTGTTTAAGCAGTGAACTCTATGTTTGAGCAGTGAACTCTACATTTGTGCAAGGATTCTGGTTGTATTTATTTGTGTTATATATGGTTGTGGTTGCATTATCTCAAATATTGAGTTCTTAATATTATGATTTTTATGTTAAAAACTTGATTGAAGTAACCTAAAATTAGCCCATAAAATAACTCAAAATTATTAACTCGAATTCAACTTGAGCCCACTCGAATTAAACTTGGATAGTGCTCAGGTTGAGTTTCTCAACTCGAGGTAGGGTTAGAGTTAGGGTTGAAGATTATAAACTTAGAGTTGAGTTAGGGTTGACTGTCCAACCCGTCCGAATTACACCCCTATTAGTTGGGTACCTTGCTTTCCAATGTCAGGCCATGCGCAGGTTCCCAAACTTAGATTTTGATGACTTTGAGCCCTCATTTGATGAGGATGAAGTGTCTGGTGCGGAAGGAGAAGTTGGAGCTTTAGCTACCCCAGTTTCTGAGCTCACCCCTAAAGGCACTAAAGTCCCTCCTCCTACTTCCACCGAGGTCTTATCCCGGAGGCTTGTTTTGTTCTTGCTAGTTCTGTAATCCTTACTCCAAGTCTCACTGTTGAAGCTGCTGACTTGCCTCTTGTTGCAGTTGGTGCTCCTGCTAGTGTCCTAGTTTCTAGTGAGGTTTCTGTCGACCTCGGGGGTCAGACTTCTAAGCTGACTTTATCTCCAGCTGGGGATGAGGTCCCTACTGACCTTAAGGCTCTGGCTTCTGGGCTGTCCTTGCCCCCAGTTGGAGATGAGGTTCCTGCCCCTGCTCTCACTTCAACTGAGGTCTTTTTGCCTTTGCCTGCTCCTGAGCCTTCTAAGACTTCTACTGCTGAGTTGGCGGATACTGCTTCTGTCCCTGCCCCAGAGACTTAAAGATTTTTTTTCTCTGTATATTTTTTTTTTTAGGAACTTCAAGCGTTGTTTAGTTTTCCAAGCACTCTACTACTTTTGGGAAATGTAACTATACAATTTTTTTAAGTTGTTGTATCATTACTGTGCTTCTGTTTTGTTTCCTGCTATGCTTTTGTTATGCTTTTATTCCCCTTGCCCCCATACTTCGAGGAGGACTTAATTCTTCTTGAAGTAGATTTGCCAAGAACTATTAAAGAACTAAAGAGTTAAAGAACTACTGGATGGCTGAAGTCTTAACCTTGGAGAGCTCATTCTTATAAGCTAAGAAGGCTATGTGGCTGAGTTTTGCTTAGGCTAGGCTAAAGAACTTCTGGCTTGAGAGAACACTCTCATAAATTTGCACTACTTGCATTTTGGGGTGTTCCTGAACTAAGTCGAGCTAGCAGACCTGCGTTAACCGAGTTGATCTAGCAGAGCTGAGCACCGACTTTCTCATTGTAGCACGTGCCCAACTACTTTCTAAAAACTTAACTACTGTAATGATTATGGAAACACAATGGATGGGGGTGTCTTTTCGTCTTCCCACGTTCTTTGTCCCTTCAAATTTGGGTTTTCTTGAGGTTTCTTTAAATTTCAGACATTCTATTGCTTACGAGTCTATGGCCTTCTTGATTATCTTCAAGATTTGGGATTCCCTTTTACCTGTCCTTCTTGGGGTTTTTGAGTTTTTTTCTCTCTTTGTTCCCTATTTTTTCTCTTGATTGTCAATGGCTGCCCCTCCCTCTTCTTTGTTCAAACAACGTGCTTCCACTGGAGTCGATATGAAGTGGCACTTCAATTACTTGGTTCCTATGGTGGTGACTTCTACTGAGTTAGAAGGGATCAAGAAGCGGTACTCTCTTCTGAGGACTTGCTTCTGCGAGTCCCAAGTTTTGATGACCCTTGCAATTTCCTTTCTCTAGGGTAGGTTTGCTTTTTTGATGGCACTTTTGAGAGGGGCCTTTACCTCCCCATCCACCCTTCTATTGGGTGGATCCTTGCCTATTATGGCCTGTGTCCTTCTCACCTCTCTCCTTGAGGGTGGGGTGCTATAATTAGTTTCTTCCTCTTCTGGCATTTGTGAGGCAATAGCTAGTTCCCCACTGTTTTTGAGTTTCTTTACTTCCACGAGCTCGAAGAGGACAAACTTCCTTGCTTCTGTTATTTAGGTGGAGGCTTTCTTTCAGCCTCTACTGGTTCTTGAAATTCTTTCCTCTCCTGAGGGATGGGCCCAACATTTCTTCTTTACCTCCGGAGATTCTTGGAGGTCCTCTGAGCAATGCTATGCGTAGTCTAGGGCTCCTCATTCTTAGGAGAGCTTCTCTTACAAAGGTAGTGGTCTAGAAATTTTTTTTGCTAGACTCGTTGTAATGGGCTCTTATAATACTTTTTGTTGTGCAAGTGCGCCCAACTTGACTTTGAGAGAGCTGCTGAGGGTTGAATAGCTGAGCCATGATGAGCCTGCTCATTTTTCTAAACTTCGTTACATTAGAATACCTCTTTCTGCTAAGTGCTGCAGTTGTAGCTCTGGAATTTGTCCCTTTCCCAGGTCCTTCTAGGTCCTCCCCCGTCGAAACAGATAAAGACGAGGATGTTGCTATGTCTTTGAGAAAACACAAGAGAAGTGGCTCTTCTTCTCATTCGTCTGGCTCTTCCTTTGTTACTATTTTGTTTTCTTCTACTAGGATGAGGCTTTTCAAAAAGCTTATCAAGATGAACTGAAGGAAGAGAATGCACACTTGCGGGCAGTGAATACTTCCTTGACAGAAGAGGTCACTGAGCTAAAAAGGCGACTTAGGGGGCTTAGAATTTTTCTTATCTTTCTTGTACTCCATTCCATTGATGAAATAAAAACTTCTTATGTTGTTTTGCAATTTTCCTCTATTGGATACTTGTTCTTGTGTGTTTATGAACTGTAGAGTTAAATGCCAGCTGACAAGTTCATCCCTTATTTATGAACTGAGGAGCTCATTATTGATTTATGAGCTACAGAGCTCATCTTTTACTTATGAGCTGCCGAGGTGCATACCTCGGTTGTAATTTTGGTTGCGGGGGGCCTAGGCGATCTCTAATATGGAGAACATTAGGTCCTATTTCTGGGGGATCCCTACTAGAGCAATCCCTGCCTCTTCTGGGAGATCTATCTCGTCCTCTTTCTTTCCTAGGACTCCGATCCCTTTTCTTCTCCTCCTTTCCTTTCTTTTTCAATGAGGATGAACTCCCTACCTTAGAAATGAGGGTTTCCTTGCCATTAATGTATTTCTCTACCTTGGCTAATACTTCTGTCATGCTTGTTTGCAGGTTTTTTGATATGGAGAACATCAAGTCCTTTGACTGTACTCCTAAACCAGTGATGAAAATGGTGATAGCAAAATTCTCGTCTGGAATGTCCACCTTTAGAGACTCTGAGTTGAACCTTTGGACATAAGACCATAGGTTCTCATTGGGTCCCTATTTCACATTCAACAGGTGGTAGCTTGGCTTTTGGTAGGTGTGAGCTCTTATGAAATGGGACACAAAGGATATGGAGAGCTCCTTAAAGGAGGAGATAGATATCGGGGGTTAGCCTGTTGAACCATGCTAAGGCTGACCCCTTTAAGGTAATGGTGAAAGAACGGCAATGCATAGGATCTTGATATCCGTGCAACTCCATTTGGTTCTTTGTATGTATTAAGGTGATCCATGAGATCTTTTGTTCCATCAAAAGCATCCATCTGGGGCAATCTGAATTTTCGGAGGGAGGGGGAAATGCAACATATCAATAGTGAATAGGGATTCAGTCTGCTACACCAGGGCATCCACTGTTAATGGAGTCTTACCCCACATGACTTCTTTCATGTGACTGAGCTCCTATTGGATGTCTTTGAAGCACTGTTCCCAGTACTATTCTCTTTTTTCCTGCTGGAAAGGGAACAAATCATTTTTCTCGATCCCATCATTCTGACTCTGCACTTTCTCGTTGTCACCATTCCTAAGAGGTGGATGGGGAGCCTGTCCCATGGCCTGACTATTCTCACCACCTTCGTTAACTTTCCCTGAGGGGATTGAGGTATTGATGTTCCCCTTGTGAGGGACCTCTTTGGGCTGGTCATGCCTGCTAAGGAACTTGCAGGAGCTTGAAGAACTCTTCATTCTATTGGAGTATGCACTGGTTGACTAGGCGTAGAGCCTTCAACTCGTTATTCATTAGGGGATCCATCATGGGTGGATTGATCTCAGCGGTGGGAAAGAAGTCTTGAAGATTTTCCTATTGCCTTCTGCTAGTGGTCTCTTGTTGACTTTGCATCCATGGGGGATTCATCTGGCTTCTGCTCATGTTGCGTGTAGAGACCATCAATTACTGAAAGAATCAGTGTATTTGTAACAGGAACAATTGTTCCACAGATGGTGCCAAACTGATGATGCTCCAAATGTGATTGAACAGATTATGTATGATTAGGGGTTAGGACTGAGTTACTAGGCTCGGGTGATTATGTTCGAATAACTTTTTGGGGATATTTAGGGAGAGATCACGCTGAAGAATTATAGTGGTTCACCAGTTTGGGAGCTCGGCTAGTCCACTCTTTAAAGGAGTCTCTTACTCTTGAGGCTTTTACTCAATGTGAATATTCGATTACAAAGTCTTCTTTTTTTCAGAAAAAAATTGATTGCCTCATAATGAGGGCTTTGTACAGTATTTATAGCCTAGTTCCTAATTCTAAGGGGCTAGTGGTGAGATCTTCACTTTCCTCCTATGATGTTTTGCTTGATTATAGGCAATGGTTGTGGTGGTTAAGGATCATGCACCTAAACTGGCGCTTATTGCCGTTGAGGAGGCGCATTGTGGTTAGACAGCTGTCTTCCATGCATTTTCTTCGGGTTTTAGGTCGAGGGGGCCCAAGTCTAGGGTGCTAGGCTCGAGCTTTCTTGGCTGAGCTCCCTTCCTGAGCTCAAACTTAAAATTCCCTCTAGGTATCATCAACGCAAATGCCTAAGCAAATCCACGAGATCAAAGATTTTTTTCTAACCACTAGAAGGAAGGATATACATGATCCGTGAAGATCAAGAGGAGCAAAGATGTGCTTAAAGTTCAAGGTTCGCTGCTCCAAGTACCTCTACACTCTTGTGTCTTTGACTCAGAGAAGGCCTACAAGTTAAAGAAATCCCTTCCTCTAGGTTTGAGTGTGCAAGACCTGTGAGCTGTGCATGGGCTGGTGAAGAGCACCAGTAGCATCAAACTGTTTTTGTTTCTATTTATGCTTGTATGACCTAAGTTCCAAGACTTTTTGGTAATGTGAGTTGGATTCAGTATTCTGCAGATTTAGATATTAGGTTGATGTGGTTACTTTTACCAGCTATGGATTCAGCTTGCTTATTTCCTTTGTTGTTGGGTACCTAAACTCGATCTTTACTGGTTGATTTGCGAATTCTTCGTTGTGAAATTGTTAAACCCTAATCTTCTTACCAGAAAAAAATAGTTGTACTTAAGGATCTTGTGATTGATACCAAGGTAGAAAATAGTATATTGTGGTGAACTATTTTTGAGTTCACCGTTTTTGACTTTTTTAAGTTCACTATTTTTTACTATTTTTATATTCACTAATTTTTCACTATTTTTATGTTCACTAATTTTTC